CTCAAAATCCATAATTTCCTCCAGATCAGTTCCGTGGGGATGTAGCATGACCATTCTCTTCTTGCAGCTGTTCATTTCTAGGAGGTGGCAACCCTTTATCAAAGAGCTTAAAATGCTGGTATTAAAATCTTGTTATTTTTGTTGTGCTTGTTCATAGAGTAACATGATATTGTAGACAGGAATGGATCTGTCAGATTACATCTGCCATCTATGTCCTATTATCTTGAATAACAAATCCCCCATTGGTTTTAATGACCACTTTAGGTATTACATCTTGTGGGGACAGTCTCATGACAGTTATTTGAGCTGTATCATAGTCATGCAATGAAGCCAGCTGTCTACTTGTGGAATTGTGTTCACCCAAAAACTGGGTATTTGGCCTTTTCAATCTTCTACACATGATCTTCACTGCAACAAATAATGCAAAACTTCACATCCTTGTTAACAAACAACTAGCAAGTTGTGGTCCTTGCAGCACTGACAGAAATTATCTGGAGGTTTTCAAAGCTAGGCAAGGGATTTTTTTTGCTTGTTGCATATATCACAAGCATGTTTTTGTAAGAAAGCAACCAAATATTTCCTACCCAGCTTAGTTAGTAATGTATGAAGAGCTTGCGGGTAAGGCTACTAGACATCTTATAGGGCTACCAGATTTAAGGTGCACTACTAGATGGTAGTATAGAGATTGCTGTTATTTAATGTGATCTGGGTTTTTGTAGCCCTGAACAGATGTTCTATATGCTTTGGATTTTGAGAGTCCAGCCAATTTGATCAAGGGCACAGGAAATATTCCTAAATATCTAGAGGCATATTTCCATATTTCCACAGATTTTATGGTAGAAATCTGAATTCACTGCTAAATGAATGACAGGAATAAAATGAATCCATTTGCTGAGGTTGATGAGATAAATATCCCTGCCACCCATTTGTATAACAAGTATCTTGAAAAAGAATTTCTGAAAGCTGTTTTTCAAAGAGCTTATATGTACATATATCAGTGTTGTTTGATATGTTGTGCTACACATATTTCAGGAAAATTGCCCTTAATTGTTTGTTAGGGAAAATTGTAAAAACGTATTCAGATAAACATATTGTTGCAACATATCTACCTTCAGCACTTTGGCTCAGAAATTTCTTAAATAATTGTATAAATAAAATATCACTTAGATTTAATTTCCATAAGAAATAATAACTCTGCAAAATCTGCAAGAGCCACTGACATCTCAATTAGCAAAACAAACATGAAACAGAATTTATGATATACTGACCTTTATTTCTTTCACATTTTTTTTCTTTTGCCAACGCATCTTTTTGCTTTACTTGATGATGTTTTCACTTCTGCTGTACCACATAATCTTTTCTCTTTACTTGGATTATGCATTTGCCACCTTTTATGACACAATATTAGTGCTGAGCAGTAAAGTGAATGTTATTACTTCAAAGAAGCATTACTTGCTGACAAGAATTAATTAGAATTCTAAATCGTTACCGAAATCTTCTATTCTACAGTGAGAGCTTTAGTGAAATGATGGAAATAGATAATTAGCACTGCTATTCTGTCTGTTCAGTTTGGATAGTCCATAAAAGATCTGATGCTTCCTTTTCCTGAAATAAACAAAACCAGCTTCTGAACTGTCAAAAAAACAACAGCAGTTCTTGAAGGCTAATCATTAGCAGCTTTTGTCACTGACATATAATTATTTCACAAATTCTGCTTCAATCAGGAAAAAAATATGCTTAAGTGCCAATAAAGTTTTAAACCTAGTATATATATTTTTCCACTGGAAAGGGGGAAACACATTTCTCCACTGGGGTGGGGAGAACACTTTTTAAATACATTTTCTGTATGATATGCAATAGAGAGTTTCCTCTAATCTGATTCCTTCCAGATGGATTGTACCAATTTAGCAAGCATGCTGGCTGGGGAATCTGGCAATTGCATCAGAAAACGCCAGGTTTTTCAGCAACCGGAAGCACATTAGATGGCTAATGGATTTGGTCAAATAGGTTCTAGGTTTGTTAAATCCAGCTCTTTTGACACAAATATGATCCTCAACAAGGTTAATTTTGTCCTTGGCAAGCCATCACAGCTGAAAATTTGTCAAGAATTCTTCAGCTTCATGCATGAATTTTGATTTGCCTTGTGTAAAAGACCCTTTGGTATCTTTTGTGCTTTTGTGTTTAAAATCATGAAAATGATTAGTGTAATAAGGTGGTTTTCTCTCAAAGAAGGAACCAGAATAAAACACTACATTTTAAAATATATATTTATTTTTTTTCTGTTAAATTACATATTATTAATTTCTGTAGTATCTTTTGTAAAGTTGTGAAGTTCTTCTACTTGTGCCTCCTGTCTTCCACATTTTATATCTGCAATAGCTGCCATTGTTCCTATAAACTCAAAATGGCCATCAATATCTTGTTTTACTCCTTTATCCAAAATGAAAGGGAAAAGGTCCTTTCTGACACTAGAAACAAGGTGTCACACCAAATCTAGCAAAGGATGCTCAGCCCTAGATCAAAGTTTCTAATCTGGGTGAATCTTCTGTATTAAACATAATAAAATGCTAATAAAACATATAATGCCATGATGCATTCTAAATTCTTTGTCTGCTATAATATTTATCCATGTTAAGAATCCATCTGAAGAAAAGATGGAGAAAATGCTTTCACTGTACATTAGTGAGACAAAAATGTTTGAGTAATGTGTTTAAGAATAAGTTAAAATTTATGAACACATTTCTCAATGCAGTTGGATTGCAACATTTGATAGTGATTCCCTAATTCTATTTTTCCACTGATTCAGTGTTTCATTATATGAAAGTTTGTTTTTCAAAACCTAGCATTAAGTGAGAAAAATACATTCCAGGAGAATTTTTTCTGTATCCACACTATTTTGAACTCAGACTTTCTTTTGCTTGTTTTTCCCCCCACATCAAGTTCCACTTGTGGACTTCAATTTCTAGAATTGCCCAGCCAGCCATGGGAGCTGGGGAATTCTAGAAGTTGGAGTCGACAAGTAGTAAAGTTACTAAGGCTGGACACCCCGTCTAAGGACATAGATCCAATCTCAAAATATGGGGAAATTTCAAGACTATGAGAACCATTGGGCAGTGGAACAGCTGGCTTCCTACTGTCATAGGTGCTCCACCATTGGATGTTTCAAACAAAGGTTAGACAGCTGTTTGCCTGGGAAGAGAATTGGACTACAAGATTTTTAACTATTTTATGAGTCTCTTTACATGTCTTCCCAACATTCGATTGGATTGGAAAAAATAAATTGGCAGGGGTAGCAAGCACAGAATATATTCTGGATGTTTTTCTACCCCCTTTACCAACATAGACATGAGTATTTAAGCTCTTTCCTTGTGTTGCCTATGTGTGTACTAAATGTGAACATTTAGTGCATGTGCTCTTTTGCTGCCTACCAAACACCTACACGAAATTTGGTCTTGTTTTATTCATTTTTGTTTTGAAATTTAGTCAGCTCATAAAGAGAGTCTCAAGATTTCCCCCCACCCCCAGACTTTATTTTCAACATTCAATTGGATTGGGATGAATAAGAATCATGCTTCTTGGAGATTCAGTAAAAATATGCAGAACAGAGAAGAAGCATCTGGGACCTGTGTGTGAAATGGGTCAAACTGTCAAAAGCTATGCTGTCCTGTTGTGATGCAAGCCTCTTCGTACATATTATTACTTGGTGTAATTGCCCAAAAAGTGAGAAAAGATGTGATAGTGTGGTGCTGCTTTCATCACTTTCTCAAAAGTAGCAGCAGCTGCAAATCCCCACGATACACAATGTATAACCTGAAAAATTCCCAGGTGATGGTTTAAATGGATAATCTGTTTTAGAACTGAGATACTGTAGGATTGGACTCTGCTTTCTACCAAGGCCCCTGATTCATCTAAAAGTATTTCAGTTCCTATGAAAACTGGTATCAATTCAGTGGATTTTCTGGTGGTTATACAAAAATACTTTAAAGTACTATCAATAAAGTCATATTCTATTATAATCCCTGAACCCATTCTCTGATATTATTCTCTTTTTCCTTTATGGATTTTGCTGTGATGTGTTTCTGTTTCACTTGAACAGAGACTTGTGAGACACTCAATTGTCTTTTATTCCTTCATTTGATAACAATATTTGCTCAATGGTAGCATGCCACATATAATAGAAACTACCATTTCAGAATAATAGATTATACCTGTGATTACATGACAAATGTTAACTTTTCTTGTTTTAGCTATTGTAACTAAGGTTGTCTTGTCAATTTGAAAAATGTGTGGACTTTAACTCCCAGAATTCCTCAGCAGCAACGTCTTCAAGTTGGTCAGGTTGACATACACCAACTCTGCTGGAGTTTGATCCTGATGGCTCAAAGTTGACTCAGCATTTCATCCTCCCAAGGTCGGTAAAATGAAGACCCAGATTGTTGGGGAAAATAATGCTGATATTGTAAACTGCTCAGAGAGCGCTGTAAAGCACTGTGGAATGGTAAATATGTCTAAGTGCTATTGCTATTTTATTCTTTGTCAATTTTCAATGACATTCTGAATCCTAGTATACTGTGGTTGTTCCGAATAGCATTGGCTGGCTAAGGACTTAGCGATTTATAGTAACACAAATGTGGGAACAATTATATTTTGAAATACTAATACAGTATATATGAATTTTATTTTTCACAGCTTTTGTTAGATATAGAACCTATATTATATTCATAGCTATTTATGCTATGCATGTGAACATTAGTTACAACATACTGAGCCAACAAAGGAAACTACAAACATTAACAATTTGTTTGCTTTTGATGTTAGATGTATCAAACATGAAACTAAATTTCATATACAGTGAACATATTTGTATGTGCAAGGCTGAAATTATTAAAAGAAATTTAAATCCATTGATAATTCATAAATACTTTCAACAGACTTCTAACATTAGTGTTTCCAAATGTATACTATTGTAGAATTACTAATAAAATATCATTAAAAAATACATTTCTTTTTGCATGTTTTCTGTGCCACTAACTGATTGCTACCTTTCTGCTAGTTAATCCATTCTGTAGATGTTTACATTTTATACTAAATTTTCAAGAAATTGCTTTACATCCATGATGGGAAGAAATGAGTACAATAAAGTACTGTTATTAATAAATAGAAATAAATATGATTTCATTTACAAATTCAGCAAGCCAACATTTAAAAATAATTCTGCCAGCAGAAAAAAAGTATTTTTAATAGATATGGCAATAATTGAAAATAAAAGGTATTCCTGTGTTAGTTGATGTATATGTTTTCTGTTTAAACAGAGAGCAATGTGATCTGTTTTCAAGATGATAATCTGAAATGAAGATGACAATAAAAGTAAATGCATAATTTTATATTGGTCCTTTAAGAAACAAATGCAGATATTCAGTTGGAATTATAAAGGACAACTGCACTTATATTTGAAGTTGAGTATCTCTTGTCATGTGATCGAAGATTTTAATACATTTTTGTCTCAGTTTACGAAAATAGTTCTATTTCCATGGATGCATGCATGCATCCTATTTTCCTTCAGACTTTCTAGCTGAACATCTGGACATACTATTCTACCTTGTTTTCTATGTAATTTTAATTCTTCATGTTTGGAGAGTCTTTAAGCAAGAGAATGCTTTGAACCACACTATTCTCCTTTTCTACTTATACCTTAATGACTTATGGCAGTGTAATACATCCTTTTATTAAATACATTGCTAAACTATACTCTTAATAGCTTCAGCTGACATCGGCAATAGTGAAGAGTTCTAACAGGTGAAGGAAAACAATGTTTTAATTAAAGGTCTTAAAGTAATGTTTTGCACCCACAGAAATATTAATAAAGGATCCTTCTACTATAGGGGTGTCAAACTCGATTTAAGGGCTGCATCAGAGCTGTTTGACCTCAGGAGGCCAGGGTAGGCCTGTCCAGTGTGGGTGTGGCCAGCTTGATGTCATTCATGTTGGGAGGTGGTGCCTTTGATGGCCTGAGCACTCTGCCAATGAAAATGGGCTCCTGAGCGCCATTTTCAGCTGAGACAGCCTCCTACAACCCTCTGCCAGCAAAAATGGAGCTGGGTTGTGCATGCCTGCCCCCCCTGAGCTTCATTTTTACTGGCAGAGGCACTGTAGACTGGTCCTTCACTGTTTCCAGGGCAGTCCCATGGGCCAGATCTAAGCATCCCATGGGTCTTGAGTTTAACACCCCTGCTCTACTATCGTCAAAGCAGATGTTATCAGAATATATATTTTTCTTAAAGGAAAGTTGCAATATACTATTAAAGCAATTTTAAACAAGTAATCCATATCCTTTGACTGTTTGGCAATGTAGGATTGACCACCTGGAGCCTAAGATAGCCAGTTTTACATAGCTTTAGAAGCATTGATCTTAGGTTCTGTTAAACAGACAGATGTAAATCCAGCAGTGGGTATGACTATTAATCCCTGTCTTCTTTGCTTGAAGTTTTTGACCATTATCTGTTACTGAATTAAAATACTAGATATGAATCCTTACTATGATCAAGAGTACTTTTAATTAATGTAAAATTATAGCTGCATGGTTCTTTGCACAAAGTAAGTTTTACATATTTAAAAGTATCCAAAATATATACATAGAGAAATAGTGATTAGGAGCTCTGGGATTGATAATAGATGCTAAAAGAATGTAGATAGCACATGTGCTTAGTTTGCAATAAGAAAATAAATCCATCTGATTTTAATACCTACTGATCCCAACAGAGGTTCTATACTGTACAATACCTCTTTCTTTTTATTGCTGACATAGCCCTACCAGGCCTGTCAAACTGACGGCCCATGGGCCGGATACATCATGCATAGGCCATGGCCACCCCAGTTTGGCAAAGGCAAAAAAACTTGCAATATGTCACAATCCAGCCTGTGATGTGATCGAGTTTGACACCTGTGCCCTAGACTCTGAGTATTCTTTTGGTTCATTTTTTGTATACTTTAAGGGCACTGTCTTGTTCATATATTATAGAATATTAATATAGCATGTCTATTTATTTGTTCACATGCGTGTCTATGTCGATAGGGATGGTGGATGAGTGCCTTTTTGGCATCATGCCATATTTGGTTGGCTCTACTGTAGTGGTTGTCAAACTTGGCAACTTTAAGATATATAGAGTTCAACCTCCCAGAATTTCCAAATGCACATTTACCACATGCAAATTTGAGTATCTGTGAGAATTTTTTTGTGTATCAAGTTGCCCTTTGACTTCCTTCTGCCTTGAATCGAAGTATCTAGGAGCTGAAGCTGGTGCAAAATGTGATGGCCCTGGTAGTTATATGAACCCCAAGACTGGCACATTGAACCTCTGTTCTGCAAGCTGTATTGGTTGCCAGTTTGCTTCTGAATTCAGTATAGGTCAAAGTGCAGGTTCTGACCTATAAAGTGTCTTCCAGAAACATTATACTGAGCTGACAGTACAGTAGTCATTATAGTTGTAACATGGGCCATCTAGAAGATATCAGTTTAGGAAAGGCTGTATTATCAAAACTTTTCTGTATCAACACCCATTTTGAAAGGAACTGTATTAAATAAACAATAGTAGTGATGTACTTCTGAAAGACAGTTAAAATTGTGTGAAAGTAAACAGAAATTTTCCTTAGATATATTTTGCCAGGAGCTTATAGAGAGGGAAATACTTTCAGAATGAAGTTTTTGTTCAACTACGTTTAGAAAGAGTGCTATATTAAGAATGTAGTACAATTTAGATGTATATGTTACTTGAACATGGAAAAATATTTTATGTAAATATGGATTCATTCTATAATGCATTACATTTTTACTCTTATTTCAAAATGTTATTGTATTACTGATATACGTGAGTTCAGTTCTGGCACTTTTCAGGCTCTGAAGAAGATGTATGTATGTAATAAAATGTAGTACAGGGAGGATTTCATTATAGTTAAGCAGAGAGTTCTTTCACTTTCTTTAAATACACCTTTCCTTTCCTTTCTGGATTCTGAAATAAGTCTTCTATATAACACCTATGTATAAGGCAACATAAGATAATTTCAGATTCTTCTACATGTAGTTGGATTAGATGTTATATCACACATTATCTCCCACTAAGCTCAGACACTGGAAGGTATGATGCCGGCATTCTTTGTTTAAGGTGTTCCTCTTCATAAACATGAAATGAAGGTAGGCCCCAGTTTTCACAAGGATGAAGTATTTCAGATGGTCCAACACTGCAGAATGGGAGCATTGTCGCTTTGAGCAACTAACAGCAAAAAATGTGCTGCTATACTATCACTCAGCAACCAGAGATCCTTTTTTTCTGGTAGTGCGAATTAAGTCATCTGAGGGTCTATATGAAAGAGAAGTCATCTTTGTCGACAAACTGGAATGCCTGACATTTGGAGGGATATATTTGAGTAGCTGAAGGAAGTATTTTCTAAAGTTTTTCCCCCAAAAGCCATAAAAGACAGGATTCAGGCAGTTGTTAAAGTAAGCTAAGCAGATTGTGAAGGGCATAGCTGTATCCACAATATCTTCAATATCACAGCTCTTAATCACATCAAGTTGAATCAGCACATCTATAAAGGTAAATATTTGATGAGGAATCCAAGAAAAAAAGAAAAACAGAACTATTGCAACTATCAACTTAAAGATGTCATCCCCTCGGCCATTATTCTTCTGAAACTGATAAGCCTTTTTCAGAGTTTTCCAGATTAATATGTAGCTTATTAAAATGACCACAAAGGGAATGATGAAGCCCAGAATATTTTTGGATAGGCCTAATCCAATATTGATGGTTATGTGGTTGGTTGAATTCCTGCGTGTGCCATACCAAAAAGCACATACGGTGATGTTTTCATTTTCAAGGACATATGCACGGCGGTGAATCCCAACAGGCAAGCTGGCAAGGACTGCCAACAGCCAGATGATGATGCAAGTTACCCGGGCAACGAGCATGGTGCGTCGAAGACGGGCCTTCATGGGATGCACTATTGTTAAGTAACGATCTACACTGAGACACGTCAAGAGAAAGACACTTGCGTACATATTGAAGGTTGCTGCAACTGAAGCGATCTTACACAAGCAGTTGCCAAAAGGCCAATGGTACTTCATGGCTGTTGTAGCTGCCCATAATGGTAGAGTTACTAGGAAACACAGATCTGCCAGGGCTAAATTAAGCAGAAAAACACTGGCCACAGTTTTCAGCTTCATGTAGAAGTAGATGATAATCACAACCAGGCTGTTTCCAAATATACCAATGATGAAGATAATGCTGTAAACAGTTGGAACCATAACAAAAATGTAGCTGTGCCTTCCCAAAGAGGGACAGTCAATGGGGTTCTTTTTATCGGTCTCTTCTGCAGTAATATTTAGGATCATTGTGATCTGTTCTTCAAGAGGCTATATGGGAAATTGATACCAACAGTACCTGAGAAGGAAAAATTAAAAGGTTATTATCTTGTTTTCTGGTTCAATGTATTAAAAGTACTCACTTTACAGTTCCTTAACACCATCTTTAAACTGCTATAATATATCAGGTCTCTTTGATGGTTAGGTACTTTATCCAGTAGTTTGGTTTCTGGCATACAAACTTTCATTGGGCAAAGACCACATTAAACCAGCTGTCTGAGTACGTCCAGCAATATACCCAAAGCAACACTTTTGCTTAACATTACATTGCATTTTATGCTTTCTTCCTATTTATCCATTTGTTGTATACCAGATTAATTAGTATATGGGGTTTTAGTTTTAGATTGAACTCTATGGCCTAAGTAATAGTAAATATTTCTTGAATTTAGGTATAACCAGTGCTTTTTTTAAAAAAAGACTTCACACTAGAGCAAAAGATGACCATGATTCTGGATGCATTGCAGCACGGTAAATAAATGAGATGTTGTCCAGTGTTCTGTTATCAATCCAAAAATTAAATATAGCACAACTGCTAGATTCCAAATACCTTAGAGTTCTGTATCTGTTACATTAGGAATAGATATAATAAACATCTGGTTGGTCTTGGAACACTACGACAAAGAACACAGTTAAATGTGCATTTTAATGGCTCTCTAAAGGCATTGTTTGAGATCACAGAGGTTTAGCAGACATTAAGATAAGTGAAATAGAACATTCAAGAATTGTTCAGACTGTTTATTTGAAATGATGCAGATCCCTTGCCATTTAATCAATTTATGTTATGATTAGGAAATATATTGGCTTTATTCTTAAAATCACATTGCATGTGCTAAAACCAACCTGGTTAAATAAATACATAAACAATGTATTTAAATAAATACATAAATGGTTAAATAAAAACAAAACAATGTTTTAATGCTAATTATAATTTTTTTAAAATGAAACAATTTTGTATTTCTAGTCCACTGTCAAGATGACAAAAGATTAACAGTACATTATGTTGGGGAAAAAAGCTTATTACAGTCAGTGTTTTAACTGTCATGCAAAAACTCTTAATGAAAAGATCCTGGTTTCCATGTGGGTCACTTGTGAGTCTGAAGAGTGTAGGCCTACATAAATGATAAACTAAATGAATTAACATTTGGAAGGAAGCAGAGGTGATATTCAGAAGGTTCTGACCAGTTCTGGAGAACTGGTAGCGGAAATTTTGACAAGTTCAGAGAACCAGCAAATACCACCTCTGACTGGAGATTTTACAGTATTCTTCCTCTACCACGCCCACCAAGCTACGTCCACAGAACAGGCAGTAAATTTTTTTGAATCCCACCACTGGAAGGAAGGGCTAACAAACACTATTCTTTCCGGTCTTTGTCCACACACCATTATTATCCAGGACCTAGTATGTATCAACTGATTAAGCTTGATTGGGATTTGTAAGGCTTAGTTACTTTTGCAAACACAGATTGACTAGTGACTTCAAAATACTGCATAAATTCAAAAATGGTTTAATCAGAGACATGATGAAATATGTTGGGTGTGTGAACACAGCCACTTTGCACAATTTCTGTAGTTGCATCCACATAGTGATGTGATTGATTTTAATCAAAAATCTTTAGCTGGATCTCTAGGGAAAAAAAACCCCCTAGGTTGGCAGTTTTACGCTAACATTAGCAGAGGGAAGCAGCCATCTGGTCCCAATTGTCATCTGATCTACTAGCTGGCAAAACAGGGACATTGTGAGTAGATACAAGGAACTTCTTTTCTTTTCTTTTTATGAAAGAAAAGGAGGGGGGAGGATGATTTCTTAATTCACAAAGTACTAGAATCTTTGGATATTTCTCCAGTTTGAAAGGGAAGACCTTCATTACTCTCAGCTATTGGCTACGTTAAAAATGAACAATATTTAGTTCCAATTCTGTAAGCTTCAGATTCACTATACCAAGCAGTAATACTTTGAAATCTGCAGATAATAAAGACCCTGTAGAGAAACTGTAGGTTGGTTTTACAGTACATTTATGAATTATCAGTAAGTGGAGGGCTAATCCTGTGGCTGATTTCTAAGGTTGAAACATATTGGGATGATTTAATGAGTAGTCCTGAAATGTAAACAATTATTGTGGGTTTTGTGGTCAGCTGTGGAAGAGAGTTTAACTAGCATATTTGCAGTGAAGATTGTTTATAAATTTTATGGCAAAACTGATTTTTTAAAAAGTGAACTTTGCTTCTTTGTCCATGTACTAGTAGTCCGAAAACAATAAATCACAATATGAAGTAGAATAAATAAACAAAATCCATTTAATAAAATGCAATACTTTGAATGTAGCATGCTGTAAGCTAGCCTTTCCCTCTCTGTTATCCTGGACTGGAACTCTAAGAATTATCAACCATCACATAGGAAACTTTGACACTGGAGGAAAATTCACATGAACAATTCATTCAAACAGAGATAGATTCTCAAAAATTATTTGAAGTTAACAGTTAGGATTTTGGAAATGGATTGAAAACATGCACATGCTTGTTCCATATTTTAAGCGGCTTAAATAGAGAACATGGGGACTTTTTTTTTTACATTTTACAGGTGGTTTTCTGAGTGAGCTCTAAAGTTCCTGAGCCTTCAACTCAACATGATGTTCTTCAAAACATTTTTGACAACTCCCAACACTTGTAGAACACAATGACTATGACAGTCAGTTGTGATTCACAACACGTGCAAAATGTCAAGCTGCTCTCAGTAATTTATACTGATTGCTACTATTTGTTGTTTAAGCACTTTCATTTGACATCATGGAGTCCTAAAAAGTAACACCTGTATAATTTTCTCATGATAAGGTAACAGTGAGATATATTCATAACCTTATCTTACCTTAACCTTGGCAGTTATTTATTTGACATTTTTCATATCTTTCAGATATACAACAGCCCAATACCAAAGCTGCATGCAGGAACCACTGCTAAATCTGAATTGGATTTTTGTAACAAAAGGGAACTTCTAACATTTTGAAAAAAATGTGCTACTCTGAAATTCACAGCAACAGCACTAGTATAGAAAATTGAAAAACAAGTACTGTACAAAGAGTAAGAATTAATCAATATATATTCTTGCTAAACTGGAAAATCAAGATATCAGCTAAAGGCGATATGATGGCACATGACAGCTGTAAAATACTTTTGTTTCACACTAAGTTATTCCTTTTCCTTGCTAAAAATAATAAAAATTGCAATGCTTCTCCTTTAAAAACAGCAATATCTACTTAACATCCATTTAATTTGCCTAGCACCAATCAGGAAAAAAATGTAAAAAAAAAAACCAACCTAAATAATGTATGAAATATGTTTAAAAATAAAGAATCTCACATTATTATAAATGATTCTTTGCTCTATTTAGAATGTCACTTGCTGTAGCAGATTATTTAACAGCATTGATTTTAGCTAATCAAAATACAATTGGGATTAAACCTGGCTCAAGTAAAGCAATCAGCTGAGGTTCTATTTTCATTAGAACATGCATTGTGAAAATGTGTTACCTTCTTTTGATTTTTACTAGCTATCAAATAATACATTTTGGGTTTGACCTTTTTCTTTTACCCATATATAACAGTTAAAAAAACCCTCTTCTGTTTGGTATATCACAATGTGGTTAATTATTATCAGGAATTCAACATGGAAAACCTTGCAAAGCTGAATATTTAATTAACCTAAAGAAATTAAGAAAGGACACCTAGTTTATTTGTGCCTTCAGAGTTCATATTATGCTGCCATTTTGCTGATTGCCTGTAACAAACAGATTTCATTTTAAAAAGAGAGACAGGAATTAGTCAAATCCACCCTTCCTTCCTTCCTTCCTTCCTTCCTTCCTTCCTTCCTTCCTTCCT